GAAAACAGAAAAAATGATAGTCATGCCGGCCCAGCATCCTCAACGTTGAAAAATGCCCCGGCAAGAAGTGGTTAAATACATTTAAGAAATCTTTCAAATTGGTATTTTGAGTGAGCTTACGGTGCTATAGTAACTAGCTACATGTAGCTACAAAGGAAGCAAGCAGAGACTGGTTCTTCGCCTCACCAGGTGGCAGGTGTTAGCAACATTGGCTGCGTCTTACACAAACCTGTTTCCTTCCAGACTATACAGATCGACATTGACATGAAATCACCCAACATCCTCATACCAGAGTTTGGTTCCCTGGACAAAGGAGGCCATCTATTGGTAGTGGATCTTGGTAGCCTGAGAGTCAATAGTGACCTACAGAGCCGCCTGGAAGGCAACATGAACGCTGCTCTAGGGGTGAGTTCAAGCAGGGATTCTTCCCAGGCTGTGGGTTCTTCGTGATTCTCATGATCTCCAAACTAATGACAAATTTTATGTTGCACGTTATTTTGAAATCTCCTCAACTCTTGGTTAAATCAGAGATTCCTGGTTATTAAGACAGGAAGAGAACCCAGCACACCAAAAATGTGGGTGTTTATTCTGCAAGATAGGAAACTTTATGATATCTTTCCTTACATGTACATGTAGCTCTGGTCAATATCTGTATGAGGCCAATGCATGCCCTCATCATTGAAAAGAGCATTAATTAGACATTGATTCAAAAATGAAATTGGGTTTTACAAAGTGACACTGAAAACAAACAGAGTAGGGAACTTTTATCCCCATGTGACTTGTGCCCTTCCCAACTTGCCTGAACTTAAACCTTAGTTTCACAGCACTTTGATGGATGGTACCCTGTTCATCCTAGTTATTATTCCTTCAAATGAAGCATGATGTCTCAGTTTTGTCCTGCATGTACATAGATCAGGAAGGAAAGAAGGAAGACTGCCCTCAGACGATGTCTAAGGGGTAGGGTTCAAACAATGTTCATTTGTTGGTTCTGTGCAGGATGCTACACCAACTGAGATTGAGGCTCGTTTATACGACAAGTTTGTTGTCAGATTGGACGACATACAGGTGTTGCTGATCCATTCAAGTGAGTGTTGTCTCAAGACTCAGGTGATAGGGCTGCTGGATAGCTCATTTTGTAAAGTGGTAGTACAGGGTTCCTTAGGTTGCTGGTTGAAATCTGTCATTTCATTTGATAAAGGTGATTTTATTCAGAATTTTTTATGGCTCTCTGCGTAAACAGCTGCACAGGTATACACCCTTTGACCAGTAAAATATTTTTGCAGTCAAAGTTGCATTTCGGCTTTAGATTACTGCGGTAGGTTTTGGTTTTCACTGAGGTACCTGTACCTGCTTTCAATTAGTTGTGCCCTTCTCTGTTACTTAGGTGATGACTGGCATGAAGCTATTACTCTGAAGGAGTCTGATTACCACCTCATCCCCAGCATGGGGCTACAACTCAATGTCTTCAACAGTGTCAAACCAGACTACAAAGCCCTCCCTCAGTGAGTAATCACTGTAGTTTTTGACACACCATGTTTCTGACTTGGTTGGGGATGTACTTGAGATGGACATGAAAAGTTTTTGAATGACTCCAAAATATTCAGAAGAGAAAGTAGGACATTAACAAGCTTATACACCTGTCAAATGTAAGAGATCTTTGAAGGCGTAAGAAAGATATACGTGATGTAGATTTATTGATATTATTACTGAATTGGGTGAAAGTTACTGATGCAGAGTGATCAAGTGATAAACTTTAAACATTAAGTGTGGGTCAGATCATGATCAGTATGATTCATCTCGATTTTTCTCAAGATACTCTATCTGATGGTCCACGGGAGAGTTTTGCTGAGGTTCAGAGTACACTGTCTAATATGTTGATCCACACCTTTCTTATAGAGAGAGCCACTTTACAGGAATAGTGCATTATGTCTGTCACTTTCATTGCTTTGTAGCAAGCTTTACATCACATCAATATGAATGCTTTTGTTGTTTGAGGATTTGTAGGAGACCCTTGGATGTGTACCAGTGACCATATTACTTGGGGGTTATACTGTACCAAATAGTGGCATCTGCTTTTATCTGATTGACTTTTTTTTCAGGCAGAAAATAGAGGCTGTACTCCCTTCCCTGAAGCTGAAAGTGTCTGACAAGAAACTGAATACTCTTCTAAAGGTAAGGGCAGAACTGAAGTCTGTATTGGTCATAAAAGGCAGCTCATAATACTGCTAGATGGTTAGATCACCAAAGAAAGTGTGGGAACTGTGTGTGGCATTACGTCTACTTCTATAGTCAAACGAAAGATGCAGTATTCATAATAGGTGATAAATCTCTGACAAGACAAAGCATGGGTCATAAGTAATGGGGATAAACACTGTCTGAAGAATGCCTTTGTCGCCCCTCCTTTGAACAGCTTGTGTCTTGACAGAGGATTTGTGCCGGACTCAATTGTATCACTATCAGCGCTTTCTAACATGTTTATTTTTTCCTGTTTGTGTCATTTGCTGTGTAGTTTGCTCATAATTTGCCCCTACCAAGTAGCAAAGTGACTGAGAAGGGACCGCCAAGAGGTGTCATCTTAAAAATGGTGAGAAATAACATTGTGATGATTCTAAGTTGTTTAAAAATAAAACTGTCATGGTTTCTTAGGAGCAAGACCGATATGTAGTTTTCTGTGTGTCATCTCTTGTTCTGAAAGATTTCAAGCATATTTCATTGGACAATTCAAAATTCTCTTTCTAGGATCCCAGATACATCAAGAGAGAAACCACATTCTTTGTTCTACGGAAGATCAGAAGAGCTGCACGGAGGCGAGGCATTGGGGCTGCAGCAAGAATAAAACGAGATGAAGCAGATTCTGGACCTCCA